CAGACAGACAGAGAGAGACATAGAGACAGAAAGCGAGAAATCACCCCCCAGGGGGGATGGTCATGCCGCAATCCCTTTTCCTCCATTCTCCTCTCGGGATCTTGGGCACGCATGCACACGTGCCCGGCGTGAGTTTTAAGCCACCAGGTCCGGGACACAAACCGCGGTCGACTACGTGGGAGTCCAGCGACATAGCCATTATGCCAACTGCTGGTTCCCAACCTGCCAGATCTTTCATGAACACTAGTTCCCAACCTTGCACGTGCATCTGGATCACCTGGAAGGCTTCTCCTGGCCTCACTACAGACTTCTGACTCTATGAAATACCAGAACAGGTTTTTTTTTGACAAATTCCCAGGTGGTCCTGAGGCTGCCGGCCCCAGGAGTATCTCTCTTTGAGAACCTCTGTGATCCTCAGATGTTAATGTACCCAGGCAGCTTAAAAAAGGCAAATGGTTTTTTACAGTGGTGGTTAGTCAACCTTTTTTTTCTGAAAGCTACAGCAAAATACTTTTTTTAAAGAGAGATTTTTGCTATAGGATGCGTGTGTTTGTTGGAGAGACAGAGACAGAAAGTGAGAAATTACCCTTCCAGGGGAATAGCCATGACACAATCCCTTCTCCTCCATTCTCCTCTCAGCATTTTGGGCATGCAGGTATATGTGCTCAGCGTTAGTTTCAAGCCACTGGGTCCAGAACTTGAACTGCTATTGGCCATGTGGGAGTCCAGCGACGTAACTGCTATTGTCATCTGCTGGCCCACAAAATACTTGTTTTTTTTTTTAAATTATTGTTTATTGAATTTTATTTATTCATTCATTTATTTTAATTTGATCAGAGAGAAACAGAGAGAGAGAGAGAGAGAGAAAAAGTGAAAACGTAAGCCACCAGGTCCAGGACTCAAACCATGGTAGGCCATGTGGGAGTGTCCAGCACCATAAACACTATACCACCTGCTGGTCCCCCAAAATGCTTTTATCAACAGAAATCTTAACCTGAACTCTGATGTGTGAAAAACATGGAATGGGGACTGAGCTTCCCATCCTAATGGCCCAGAGACCCCCAAGTCCTCTTACTTTCTCAGTACAGTTTGAAAGGGTGTTTGAGGCCGGTTACCAGGGCCTCATAGGGCTGCTCAGGGCCAGGGTCTGTGCAGGCTGGGCCAGGTGGGGCCTCAGGGTTCTGCCTCCTGATGTGGGGGGTCTTTGTAGCAGACCCCTCCCAGGGAGGATATGTGCATGTGTGGGTGGTGATTGTCAACGCTGAGTCAACGCCAGATCTGAAGTGAGTTTCTATACAGTCAGAAGGTCCTGCCTTCCACCCCCGTGGTGGAGGGGAAGTGGGAAGGGTGTGGCTCCAGCAAGCACAGTCAGGGCCACTCCAAGACGCCTCCAGAGTGCAGAAGTCACCAACTTGGGGTGCCCCTAGAGGGACCCACATGACCCATGCCTGTGACTGGGACCAGAGTGCCAGCGGGCCAGACATGAACTCCTCAGACCAGGGTCAGTGCAACCTCCTGAGGCCGTGTGGAGTCAGCACACTTAGCTGTCCCAGATGTGCCCTCCCTCTGGCCACCCATGCAATCTCACAGAGGATGGGGAAACTGATGCCTCTCCATTGGCCTGTTTGTAGGGCCTGGCACAGAGAAGACTACAGTTCCAGGCTAAGTGGTTTGACAGGTGTACACCTCATGCAAGAGTGTTAAAAGGACAGCACATTGCCAGTGCAAGCACCACTAATAAAGCCCAGAGAAGACCTGCTGACTGTGGGGTAGTGAGAGGCTGTTGCCTGCCATCCTGCCCAGACACTAGTGCTAAGGGGCCCCCTGCCCCGACACCACCTCCTTCCCATTCCCTGTCTCCAAGGCCTATATGCACCAAGGTGCCCATTAACTGAGTCCCAGCTGCTGCCAACCTGCCCTTAGGTGGCCTCCTTCTGCAGTGCTGGAGGTCTGTCAGGGCACAGCCATTGCCCAGAAGGGATTGGTATGGAGTGTGTGGCCTTCCCAGTAACACCCAGCACTAGAAGCAGGAGTTGCCACCTGGACCGTCCTAACTGTGAGGGCTGCAAGGGCCTTACTTCTTCCTACCTGTTGGCTGTTGTCTGGATTAGTGGATCACAAAGGAGAGGAACATTCCAGCTCTTCAGGCAGACATGGTCTGGGAGAGACCGCACAGCAGGTGGGGCAGGGGCAGATGGGGGCTGGGATGTTGGGTTCTCTGACTCTCCCAGCCAAGTCGCACCTTAGTGTAGGAGACTTTGTGGTATTCCGAGATGGTGGTCGTGGCAACTAGGGGAGGAGGAATGTTTTGGGGCACAGGGCCTGGTGCATGGCATACCCACGGGGGCTGCAGAGGCTACTCTGGCTTTGAGGCTGACTGTGAGCATCTAATCTCTTTCCAACTCTCTGTTGGTAGCTCGAAATAGCCTGTGGTACTGACACCATGGATGCTGGCAGCACAGTGCTCTCCATGCTCGTGTAGTTTTTTGATTCAAGCTTGTATGCTTAATGGAAGTTTATTCAGAGGTGCCTCATGACAGGTTGACTCTTTGGAGCTGAGCGAGATGGTCTCAGGTAGTGACCAAGTAGGACCTATGTCTCTGACTCGGGGCACAAGAAAGGGGGCAGAGCTGGGTGGGTGCGTGTCAGAACAGCACATCCGCTCTCTGTGGCCAGGCCTCTGTGCTGCCCAGGTGTGGGGATGACTTGAGCCTCAGGCTGCCCTCCTGCTTCCCTTCCCTTCTCCAGCACCAGGGAGATGCCAGCTTTGTTTCCTCACTTCTCTTCCCGGCCAGTGAGCACTTTGTCTAAAAAAGAAAGAGTCTTGAGCATATTTGGTACTACTTTCATTCTAAGTGGCTTTCGACTTTTAAAACCCAGCATTTGGAGTGCAATAAATACTAACCCTAACTCTAACCTTAACATGTACATTATTTTATTTAAATATATTCTTATGGGGCCAGCCCCATAGCCTAGTGGTTAAGGGAGCTGGATCCCACATGGTTGACTGCTGTTTGAATCCCAGCTCTAGTGGATTAAAAATAGGCTGGGTGTGCATATGTTCCCTAAGTCCCAATAGGATGGAGAAATGGAGAAGAGGTTGTGGCATGACCATACCCCTTAGGGGTACTTTTTTTCTTTCTCTCCCTGGTGAGTACACATGCCCTCTTACAATAAAAATAAATATAAAAATATGTATTTTTATATATAATTACAAAAATAAATACATGAGCCACACAGAAAATTTGAAAATGTAGAAAAGAACAGAGAGGCCTTACCTCAAAGCCTGCCACCCAAGAATAACTAGTGTTAACATTTTCCTCTGGTCTTTATTTGGGCAGACACTTTACAAGGAGATGGTCACCCTATTCAAGTCTTTCTGTAGCATGTTTTTACCACTTGGAAATCTATCCAGAACATCTTTTTTGTCAATTAATATTATTCTACTGCATGATTTAATGGCCACATGGCATGACCTCACATGGCTGGATTAGTGTTTTATATTAAGTAATTTCTTATCACTTAACATTATTAGTAATTTCATTGTTTCTAACTTTTCATTATCATAAATAATGCTGTAATGAATATCACATGGTATAAACACTGCCATGCATAAGCTGGATTATGTTCTCAAGATAAAGTCCAAGAAGGGGAACCAGTATCTTAGTTGGTCTCACTGAGGCAGAGATCCCTGGTACTGCGCAGCTTTCTCCACTGGCATAACACCTGGGCACACTGGGTGACCCCTAGGCCCCACTGGACTGCAAGACTCCCCCCATACAGTCTGTCTGCTAATGCTGGTAACAGAGGCTCTCTGGTGAGAAACTCCTAACCTGATTAGGCTAGGGGATGCCAGACCGAGGCAGAAAGGCATGACCACTCCCCACCTGGTCTGATTGATTCCTCCTCCCAGAATCTGAGATGTGTTGATCCAACCAAATCCACATTGTCGTCTCACAGACCCGTGACTCACTGGGCTGCCACACACTGCAGTTATGTTTCATGTGTGCCACAAGTTGAAGGAGAAGTGGGTTTCTAACTTTCCACCAAGTTGGAATTATTCATTGACTGTTCTCTTCAGACACTCAGCAAACCAGCCAGCTCAAGGATTGGAGGGGGTTTCCAGCAGTGTCTACAGTAAAATGAAAAATTCTAACTTGAAAATACTACTTTAATTAGGAAACAGTTTTTAGAAACCATTTTTTTTTTTGGCAGGGGGAGGGGCCTGCCCTGTATTTTCTTTTGCTTTAAATAAACCTTTTAACTTAAAATACTTAATGATCTACAGAAAATTACAAAGATAATGAGCTAGTTCCTATGCCCCCTGCCCCCAGTTTCCCCTAAGGTCAGTATCTTGCATCCCTAGGCACATTGGCCCTCACTAAGGAACTGGGTCATCACTGTAATAAAATTCCTCACTGTGTGTGGATGTCACTTTTTAAAATTTTGCTATAGGGTATGTGTACTCACTGGAGAGAGAGAAAGAGAGAGAGAGAGAGAGAGAGAACCCCTCTGGGAGTATGGCAATGCCACAATCCTTTTCTTCCATTCTTCTCTCAGGATTTTGGGCATATACCCACACGTGTCTATGCCTAGCATGTTTTTCAAGCTACTGGGTCTGAGACTCAAACTATGAAGTGGACCATGTGGGATCCAGCCTCCTTAACCACCATGCCACTGGCTACCTTGCCCCCACTCCCACCCCCCTGTGTCTTTTTTGTGTCCCAGAAGCCCATCCTACATTTAGTCTTCCTGTATGCTTAGCCTCAAGGTCATTGGTTACCACAAGGAGAACAATGCAAAGACTTCAGATTCCTGGCCATCTGAAGACCTCGTGGAGATCCTGGTGCTTCCCTCTTTGGTCTGTGGACATTCATTTTTTATGTCTTCAGAGCCATTCCTTGCACAGCCACCTTTCTAGGACCTGCATGGCAAATGATGAGTGAACATGGAAAGGAGACTGTTAGGAGTATGAACTCCAAGAGCAAGACAGACACCAATGGCTCCTATGAGGAGAGTGCTGCTGGGACTGTTTCTGGCTAGCAGTTTGATTCCCACCTCTCTGCCTGGCTGACCCTCCGCCTCAACCCCTGTGATGTGTTCCAAACAGAAGCAAGGGATCCACCTTCTTTTTCAGTTGTGAAACATTCTGGGATGTTCCTGGGGGACCCAAGAGGACTAGATCTGCACTGCAGCCTCTTGCAGCTTCCCTTCTATTTGACTGTCCCCTTGAGTGCTCCAAAGACACCCGGCTTTATATCCCCATCCATGTGGGGTATTTCCAAGCATGATTGTCAGCCAGCTGCATTGGAGTGGCCTGGAGGTTGGAGGTCTGGATCTGTGCTTCTCAATGTCCCATGGGTCATCTGTAGATGCACGAGACTTTAAATGAATCTGAACATGAGCCAAATAGAGCTGAGCAACCTGCAGGGATGTATGGCACCTGCCCTTGGGGTGACTGGCATGAAGGCTGCAGGGCTCAAAGGAGGGCACTGGGAGTCCCACCTTCCACTTCTTTCCCCGCTGCCCATAGCCCCAGTGAATTCTTGTCTTCCTAGCCTTCTTCCTTCCCGGGGGAATGAGGTTCTTTCCTGTCCTGAGCCCAACTCCACCTGCTTAGTGTAGGCAGAACAGCAGGTCTGCCCCCACCCCCAGGGAGCTCCTCCAGGGCTCTGCCCTCAGGTGTCCCTGGCCAGTGTTAAGTATTCCACTGCCTCCTGAGCCCAGGTCTCCCTAGAGAGAGGCTCCTGTGTTCAGTTTTGCTTCTCTCTCTCCTCTTGTGCTTTCCATCACCCTGCATATCAACACCCTGATGCCTGACTGTTTTCCCTTTGGATCCTGTGGATGCTCAGATAATTTCAGACATTTCTAAGAGCTCTAAGACGCCCTTTTCTTTCAAAGCCCACTGTCCGAAGTACACCTTTGCAGGATAGCCTCTCCTACCACCCACTCCGGCCCTTTATTCCTCATGGCTCCACCCTCCCCCCCCACTGGCCTTTTGTAGCCTACCTACATATTTGAATCTAATTTCTAATCTGCCTGCATATTTGAATCCTAATTTCCTAAAAGTAGGACTTTGCCTCTGGCCAACTGCTGGGTCTGAGCACCTGGCATGTAGCAGGTGTTCAATAAACATCAGGTGAATGAACGAGTGAATGAGCCAGCAAGGGCACCTCTAAGGGGGAGCTGAAGCCCTGTGCACCTGGATTCCTGAGGTCTGGAGGAAAAGAAGGCCTTCCTACCCCTGTCCAGAACTTCCACTAAAACTAGTCTGGCAGGAAAGACAGGCAATATTAGAGCCAAGGGTAATGGCCCTCCAATAGGGTGGCTGCCCAAGCCTGAAGATGACACTGAGCAGGCCACACTAGCACTCTTGGGAAGTGCAGGGAGAATCCAGTGCCAGGAAGCACCTAGATGGGATACTTGCACAACTGGTCAAGTTCCTTTTTGTTGCCAGAATCATTCATTGTATCATTTTCTCCCAGCCCTGAATAGATCTCAAGAGTTTGCTTCAAAACCTGGGGTCTGCCCGACGGCTGAGCCAGAGCTGTCCACTTCACCATGCAGCTTGGACACTGACTGTCCCAGACTTCAGAAGTGCTGTTCCTGGTCAGGAGGCCACCAGTGTGTGGCCCCCATGCCTCGGGGTAAGGCCACTGTGCAATGAGCTGCTGAGAGACCTGTACCAAATGTGGGCCCCAGCTAGGCCCTGTGCGCGGTGAACATCAGGGAGATAGGGTTCCTAGAAGCAGCCTCCCTATTCTGTGGGTGCCCATTGCTGTGAACACAGGCAGTCCGCCTCATTTAATATCTTTATGAAGATCGATCACCAAAATCTCAGGAGAGGAAGGATGGGGTGGAAGAACATTCCTGGGGGGTCAGAGACCCAAATTTTCCTTATTTGCCCAGGGCAGCCCTAGGAGCTCCAGATAGATTTATGGGAAGCTGAAGGATCTCACAGAGGGAAGTACGATGCTGGCTCCTCTTGGGACATCCCAGGACCTGACGGCCTCTTCACAGCATCCACTGCCATGTTCCAGGCCTGTCTCATGTGCACCTGCTGGACTGGAAAATTCTGTCTTGACAGGGTTCCCAGGAGAAGGGGTCAGCCAGTGCTAACAGCTCACATCCACACACACACACACACACACACACACACACACACATAAGGATATTTATAAATACCATATATTATAGCATTTATTAATATACCATGTGGTAATGAAGTAATAGTGTGAACAATATCAAGTATTATTATAACACTATAAATTAACTATACTATTAAATTATATATTTTAGTATATATTATATATAATAATACATTATGTAGTTTGTGTATATAGATAGGTAGATAGATATAGCATTATATGTATTATATATTATACTAAATGATATTAATGGTATAAATAGTATGAATAAAATAATGGCGTATTAAAATGTACCGATATAACGTTGACACAGCCTCTGTGGTATAGTCAGTAGTGAACAAGGCTGAGGAACTAGAAGCTACATGTGGACTGTGACTTGAGTCCCCAACCTGTAAGCCTGAAAACTTGGTGTCCAGGATCCTGCTGGGCTGGTGGACTGGAGAAAGGAGATAGCAGCATGACGGAGCCCTGTGGAGGGTGCTACTGTATTGCTCATGTACTCTATCATACGTGTGCGTGCGTGCGTGCGTGTGTGTGTGTCTGTGTGTATAAAGCAGTGAGAACTACAGACTAAATCTGCATCCCGAGTGTAGCTCTTCAAGGCAGGCCTGCTGTGGGGCCCAGGCTTGTTGATCTTGGTCAGCAGGAGGAAGAGAAGTGAGGGGCAAAACTTTGGAAGCACCCAACTGTCCCCAGCACAGGAGTATCTACAGGGAGGAAAATGCACAGTAGCCATGTTGCCTTCCTCATGGGCCTCCTGTCCCCCCTCTCCTCTCTAGTTCTGGATTTTTAACTCTTCAGCATTTGTCCTGTGTAGCTCCCAAGAGGAAGCTGGTGAACTCCTGGTACAACGTGACTGTGCTGGTGAAAATGGACTTTCGGGAACTGGAGAAAGTGGACCCCAGACTCCTGAACCACACACGCCTTCTCTACTCCTTGGTAGGTGAGGATGGGGCACACCTGCACATTCCTTTCCATGCTTGCTGCTCAGGTGGGCCAGGTGTGGGAGCATGGACGGGAACTGGGGGCTGGGGAGGGTGACATCCTCCAGAGGCCTCACAATGATGGACTCTGAACCAAATTTGAGGTATAATTTACATGCAGTAAAATGCACCCAGTTGAAGTGTGGAGTTTGATGAGTTTTGCTATATGTATCCTCGTAAGCCATTCCCTTATGTATAGAGCATGGAATCCTTAAACTTGAGATAATCTGTTACTTAAACAGAAGGGTGTCCTGGTAAAGACCCTGAACCGTGCCCTCTCTAACCTCATTCCCAATCCCTGAAGCTCTAGTTCCTGTTTTATGGAATTCTGCACCATTCTAGAGAGTGCTGGGGGAGGACTCTGGGGAACATGGGGTCTCTACTCTGATGCCCTTTGGGGATATCTCTCTGGTGCATCACAGGGCAGTTAGCAGCATCTCTAGCTCTACACATGAGAAGCCAGAGACATCCTCCTGTTGTGACAACCCAGATCATCTGCAGACATTGCTCACTGCCCTCCAGGGCATAATTGCCCTGACCAAGAGCCACCGATGACACAGTTCAGGCTCTTTGGTATGTCAGCAGCAACTGTCAGTAAGACTCTCATCTGGGGAGTCACCATTAGTCTTGTGGTCTCAGCAATGGTCAGGACTTGGCATCACCCTAAGGTGGCCCCTATATCTATATCTATGGATATCTATGTACATATGAATATATATATGTGGATATATATATATATATATATATATAGAGAGAGAGAGAGAC